CTCTCACCCGGAGTCTCCCGGTCGCCATCGCCACGTTATTTGAGACTCCTTTACAAAAGAGCATCTTGTGCTTCTCCCACCACGACCCATACTTTCACCCTACTTGAATTTTCTTTATTCACGTATCATTACATGACATTATATTTATTGTCTATTATCCTCCATCAAAATGTAAGCTCTATGAATGCAAGGTCTCTGTTTTGATCTCTTTTCTAGTCTCAGAACCAAGAAGTCCATACAGCATATAGTACTTACTAAACATTTGTCAATCACTATGGAAATCAATACGGAGATTGCTCAAAAATCTAAAAATAGAAATTCCATTTGACCCAGATGCATGTCGTCCAAGTATCCTGAAAGAGGGTAAAATGATACCTGCACACCCATGTTTACAGCAGCATAATTCATAATAGATAAATTACAGAGGCAGCCTATATTAACTGCCATCACCTGATGAACAGATACAGAAAAATCTATACACTGGAGTACTACTTGGCAATAAAGAAAGATAAAATTCAGTCATCTGTAGGAAAACGGATGGATCTTGAGACCATAATACTGACAGAATAAATCAACCTGAGAAGGTTAAATACTGCATGGTTTCTCTATGAGAAACCCAATATATAAGTAATTTTAAGAAAAAAATAAGAGATGATAGGAAACAGGGTGTAGAGATGGGAAGGGGATCAGGGAAAGAGAGGAGAGGGAACCCAAGGTGAAAAAAGGGGGAGTAAAAACATTCAAGATATGATACGTATATGTACCAATTCTCTAAGAAGTGTGTTAGATTATGTATTAAAACATACACTACTAAAAAAGACCTGGGTAATAAAGAAAAAAATTGTCAAATGAACAAACATGTTGCCCAGTTTTATGCTCAGTCTTTTTTTTTTTTGAGACAGGGTCTCACTGTAGTTGAGGCTGGCCCTGAACTCACTATGTAGCCCAGACTGCCTCAAATTCACTGTGCTCCTCCTGCCTCAGCCTCTTGAGTTCTAGCATTATAGGCGTGTGCCACCAAAGTACTTTGATCATCAGAGACCCTCAAAAAGCATTTGCTCAATTGAATTTTATACACATTTTCAAATACTATTTAATATCACTGAAGAAAAATGAGGCAAGCTACTTCATAATAATATAATTACTGTACAGCAGTGGTCACAACTTAGCCCTTTATTACATACTTCAATAAGATGGACTTTCCTGAACAACAAAGTACTTTTAATTGAAAATATATTTCAAAGAAAGACTTTTACAAGTTATCCCAGAAGGCCATGCTTTCTACACAGTGTATTGGGACAGAGTGTATCACTGTAAATCTCAAGAATATCAAGAAGGTGATTCTACATCATAATGCCTCAAAGTAGAGGACATCCAGCTATAGGGAATGTGCCCATAGATTCTTTTTTCTGTCCTTTTGAAGCAGGGTCTCGTTAAGCTGTATAGGCTGGTCTTGAGCTTCCTTATTTAGCCCAGGCTGGCCTCGAACTCACAGCGATTCTTCTGCCTCAGCCCCGGAGTGCAGGCATGACAGGCATGTGTCACCATGTCTGGCTAAAGCCTGTATCTTTTCTAGTCTTACCTAAATTCTTCTCTTTAATATATTTCTTTCACTTTAGAGTTCTAGCTTCTTAGAAACAGCCTTATCCTTTATTTCTAACTTTTTATTACCAAAAGAACAAATAAGCTCAAACATTAAGTGTACATATAGTCTCTAATCATCTCTTTTTCGAGTAGATGGTTTGCTTTATCTTACATTGTTTTATCCTAAAACCACTAAGAGAATGGTTTTAAAAATGCATTCTTCGGGGCTGGGGATTTAGCTCAGCGACATAAGTGCCTGCCTTGCAAGCAGGCAGTCGTGAGTTTGATCCCCAGTACCAGTAAAAACGAAAGAGACCAAAAAAAAAAAAAAAAAAAAAAAAAAAAAGATGCATTCTTTTTGTGAAAGCAAATGTCTAGAATTGTGTGCCTCGATTTCATTTAAACTAAACAATGTTAAATAATCATGTCCAATGTTAAATAATAATTTCCATAATTTTAAATAGTCATCTTTCTTCAAATTTCCTTTGTCTTTTTTTGTAATCAACCTCCTAATATTGAGTAGCATGAACAACTTTAAACCTGAAAACACAAATGTTAATCAGGTAATCCTTTTTGGTTCTAATGCTGTTTTTTCACACAGTACATGATGATATTTTTGTAGACAGTGGTTTTCACCTCTTTCCCACATAGTAGAATCACTTGCAGAACTCTGAAAAACCAAAACCAAAACCAAAACCAAAACAAAACAAAAAACTCCACCAATACTCAGGAGCTATCCAAGATCAAATCAGAATTTCTCTGAGGGTTGGATCCAAGAACAAGAATGTCCTTTTGAAGTTCCAGATAATCCCACTGTGCAACCACAGCTGTGAATGCAAGCTCTTCATGCACAAAATTGTGAGTCTAATGATGGGCACAGTAGCTGACCAAAAATTAAGGTTCTGCTATGGTTAATCCACACACCAAGTCATCTCTCTGGAGATAGTTAGTTATTATATACCTGGATATACCTACTGCTACAGGCAATAAGGATTTGATACAAAACAAAAATAACCTGAATAGCACTTAAAGACATTTTAAAGAAATAAGCAAAGATTGTTATCTTCTTCAGAATCTGCGGCTTAACAAGGTATATATCTGTAATATGCTTTCCCTCCCCTACATTTTACTACAGCAACCTCAAGGGAAAGAAAACCTATTTTTTTTCTAGGAAGGGATTGCCTCAGTGGATTCTTATTGTGGTGGCTCTTGAAAAAGAAGGTGGAAGGTGGGTAGGATCCACAAAACAAAAGAACTGGCAGGAAACCAGGCCTTCAACAAATAGATGAGTAAGATAAAGCAAAGCAAAGATCTGGGTGGCCAAGATGTATTAGGGATGAGTGACCGGGCACCATCTAATTGCAAGGGCACATTGCAAGTAATCAGCTTATGTACTTGACATTGCTACAGTATTTTGATTGCACTAAATTTTTCCATCACTAATTGTTTTCAGAAATTCTAAAATTGAGCATTTTAACTGATCAAAAATAGCTGATGCTAAAGAGAAGACTTATATTCTATACATGCTACAACACATCAAAAAGAGGATACTATTGATTAAGACACATCAGTTTGGCTGAGAAAATGCTCAGAATTGTAGGAAATATTATTTATCACTTTCTGTAACATGAATACATTACTTTCCAGTTCTGTCATTTTCTGAATACTTCATTTAATAAAATATGGTTCTGTTCAGGTACTTCACCAAAAACCTGTTGCCAACTGGCAATGGCACTGGGAAAAAAAAAAAAAAAACCAATTTGCAAGTGAGCAAGAGAGAAATTGTGATTGCTTCCAACCAATTTAAAAATCATTGTCTTAATGATTTCAATTTACTAATTCTGCCATGTCCTGCAAAACTGCCTAGAAATTGTAAAGAAGTCTTTGTGTAGTAAATTCCAATTTGCCAGTCATGATTCGGTAACTATTTACTAGTGTATGTACAGTTATTAGTGACTGAACTACTATCTTAAAATTATTAGTGATGTGTCACCAACAGAAACAACTCCCAAGTGATGAACATAATTTCTCAATCACTACTATCACTTCTTGGTTTAATACTGAAAAAAGTTTCTATGACTCTGAGACTTCTTTTTAAATTCCTAAGCATCAAACATTAATTTACATCATCCGTCCTTGAGATAGTATAACCTCCACGCCTAAGTATTGCACGCCGTATTCTAAATTCTTACTCCTATACTTACTGCTTCTGTTTTATCTTCGTATTGAAGACAAATTACTATTCATTTAACAGAACTTTTCTAAGAAGTCCTAATTTCAAAAAGCTTATTGCTATTTTCCAAAATTCAATTTATTATTTAGGAGACAAGATCATGACTTTTACTGTAGATAGTAAGCTTGTATTAAGCACTTTAAAAATCCTGACTCGTATTGTTTAGATTAGTATAAATGTAGTTTGTCATGCTTAATAGAAAGTTTTCCTTTTCTTTTGCACTAGTTTCCTGCTTGTTATTCAAGGGTTGTCCTCACAAAGAAAAAAAGCTTCAGGAACTTTTAATAACAGATATCCCTTCGCTTTGACAGTTAAGCAACAAGGACAGAACCAAAGATGAAGGCAGCAATGGTAACCCTTCCAGCAGAAGCAGGTGCACGAGAAAACTCAATTAGTTCACAGGCAGAGGACACTGCCTTGCTCTCTAGGGGGAACAGTTTTCTGAGTCGGCTCTGCTCTCCAGTGCCTGAGTCTTAACCAGGTGGGTTTCCCTTCCTCCGCCCCCACATTTTGCTTAAGACAGGGAAAGAAGTCACGAAATGACTATTTGGTATATTCACTGCAGACTTTCTGCTTTCAGTAAGTTTTAACTTTGGCAGGCCGCACTGGTGATGACAATCTATTAGGATACCTCTAGATATCCTCTCCCCAAATGGGCCCCCAAGAAATTTCGCATTTGGTGACACGGTGGTTGCCGACCCCCCAAAACTCTTTAGATACCAAGTTAATTTAAAATGTCTGGTGAGAGCTAGAAGGCAAACAAACACTCTCTGTATAAGTTTGGAAGCGCTAAGTGGCCCCCTGGACGTCCCGTCGAGGGTCTGTCCATCTGAATTCTTAAGGCCAGTACAAGCTCTGACCGCCACCGGCCCTGCGCGGAAGCAAAGGGATGCCCGCTGCCCTACAGCTTTACCCGAAGAAAAAGTTTACTTTCTCTGCTCCTTGCATTTCTCCAAACCCCGGACCTGGGCTGGGTCGGGTCTCAAAATCTGAGACCCAGGCAAGAGAGGCGTGTAGACAGGGAGGCTGTGGGACACTCCCGCTAGCAGGTACAAACCACCGAGGGCCGGGCGTGCGCTCCGACCCGCCCCGCGGGCTCTAACCCCGCGGCTGCCCCGGACCCCGGCGCTCCTGGGGAGCGAGGCGCCCTCCACCGAGCTGCCGGCGCGGGGCGCGTCCTTACCTTGGGGTTGGTGAGGAGCTGGTGCTCGTCGCTGTGCAGCAGCGCCCTGGAGTTGGACTCCGAGTTGTTCACGTAGACCTGCACGCAGGGGTACTGCGAGGTGCCCCTGCAGTCGGCGCCACAGGTGAAGGTGCACTCGAACACCTCGCCGATCTGCTGCACCGACAGCACCGTGCAGTTGGCCGCCGTGGCTTGCAGATCCTGCAGCGCGGGACTGAGCCAGCAGAAGCCGAAGATGAAGAGCGACACGACGCCGGAGATGATGAGGAACAAGCCAAGCCGGATGCTCTTGTCCTCGGCTTCCGTGTACTCGTAAGCCACCCGGAGCTTCGCCATCGCCCCCCACTCTCTCTTGGCGGCGGGCGCGCTCCTCCGCCCCCTTCCGCCCCCGGCGCCCAGCCCGACCGCCTAGGGCTGGAGGAGCAGCCGCCGCGCGACAGCAGGGGAGTGGGCGGCGAGGGGGCGCGCGCGAGAACAAAGGGGCCGCGGCCGGCGACGCCCCCGGGCTCAGCGGCGCTGCTCCCCCACGGCCCAGCCGCCGCCCGGGCCCCCGGTGCGGCCCGCGCTCAGAGCCTCGGGCTCCCTCGGGCGCGGAGAGCGCGCCGACCGCTCCCGCCTCCGGCGCCCCCTGCCAGCCTCCGCCTCCGCGCGCTCCGCGCCTCCCCGACCCCGCCTCCTCTCGCCCGGAGTCTCCCGGTCGCCATCGCCAGCAGCCAGCGAGTCTCGGCGGCCTCGCCGGGCACCAGCCCCGAGGCCGGCAGCGGCTGGGGTGGGGCAGGCCGGGGCTCCCCCGTGCGGGAGGCGGCTGCGCCCCGCCCCGCCCCGCCCCGCTGGGGGCGTCTTTGGCTCTCCAGCTCCCGGCTAAATCCCCGGGCCGAGACCGCCAACTGGAGAGAGCCGTACGCGGAGGGAAAGTTAGAAAACGTCGAGAAGAGGGTGAGGCTAGCGCGAGCGGAGCGGCGGAATCTCCAAGTCCAGGCGGGGAGCGGTCGGCCAGCGCGGGGAAGCGGGCGCGGGCGGTGCAGGGGGACCCTGGCGCTGCCCCGGACGGACGGACAGACAGACGAACAGAGGCGACCGAGAGCGGAAGGCGCGGGCTGGGTTGCGCCCCGCAGGTGCCCCCGCCGCCGCCGCCCACCACAGCCTGGTTCCCAGCCCCGCTACCAGCGAGTGCTCAGGAGTGAAGGGCAGAGTCCGGCGGAGTTTACCGTGGAGGCTACACGCGACGGGGCACGACCCCGCAACTAGAAACGTTAGGAAGACTTGGCTGCCTGCGTCCTCGGTGGACCTCGCGGGGGGAAAAGGGCAGCTGGGTGGACCCCAGCTTGATTCACCCCCAGGCCTGGGGCTGAGACCAAAATAGGTGGAGACTTGGAGCTTGAAAAAGGAAAAGAGAACACTTTGCTCCATCAGGACCGTCCCAGCGCTGGAGAACCTATTCCTTTGTGTTGTTATTTAGACTTGCCAACCCCTGCCCTGCACGCCCTGGGGTTTGGTAGATGAGCTTTCCAGAGGCGCTGTGTTGGCGACAGTGGCATGCAGACCCACTTTGGGAGAGGTACTGTTTCTGGAGAGGCGCTCTGGTCTGTTCTTTTTGTTGCTCCTTTCACCCTTGCCTGTTCATGCATCCCTTTTGTGACCTTTGATAAGTTGTGGTTACCTTTTCCTAAACCACATTTCTGCCATAAAACCAAACTTTTAAGTATTATGAGATACGTTTTGAAGAATAAAGCCACAACATTCACCTCTTTTCAGGTACACTAGATCTTAGCCTTTTTAAAAGGCCAAGAAGCCATTCACCTCTTTTCAGGATATACATAGCTTTCTCTTAGTTTGCAAATCCCCAAAGAATAAACTTTTTGTTTTTTTGATGGAACAAAGCCAGTTTTAACAGAGTAGTGAAACTGGTACAGAACTTCACAGAAGAATAAATCTTAAACTGAATTTTGCCTCTGATGAATGTCAAACACAGAATCCTGGAATTACTCTTTCCTGAACTTTAGATGTTACTTAATTGGTATTGAGCACTACATTTTTTGTTATTTTGTACCAGGAATTAAACTCAGAATTTTGAGCTTGCCAGGAATGCTATTGAATGCCTCTGGGCTTTACTGAAGTTTTGATAAAATATTTCTAAAAAATGGACAAATCAAGATTAATTACAGGAAGACCCTAAAAGTGTTTTTCGGACTAAGAAAAGACAGGGTTCGGAAAACTTCCAAATAGAAAGGTACTATATTCTTTAATACCTGTCAAGTTTGAGGAGATTACATTTTTTTTAAATTTAAGAATTATTTTTTTCCTTTTCTGCTGTCACAAAGACAATTAAGATTACATTACCTGAAAGGGAAATTGAGTGTAATGGTTGAAACAAATTAACCTGAAATCAGTCTTCACTTTGAAATATTCCTTTGCAGATATTCATTTTTCTTTTTAAGGCTTAAGCCTCACCTAACGTTGGAAACAATGCTGAGCAAGAAATCCCAATTATGCAGAGGGATTGAGTTGAAGGCAGAAATGATTCAGATTAATGCTCAACACAAGGATGGGGGGACTCAGACTAATAAATGATTCACCTTTCAATGATTCTAGACCTCTGAGTAGAGCACAAAACATTTCAAAATTGAAGATGTTCTTCAAACAGTATCAGAAATAATATTAAATACATTATCAAAAAATTCTATCAGTCTAAACTCAAGAGCTTGCCAGGTGTGAGACCACAATGAGACCAAGTCTCAAAAAACCAAACCAAAACAAACCAAACCAAAACTTAAAAGAGATTTTCTAGTTCTGCATTTAGTCATTTTTTTCCTTAGGTTATTCTCAAAGTAGTTGAATGAATCGTTGCCATCCTCCCTGGTTAAACGTTTTCCAGTTTCCTATTTTAAAATTAGCTTGTGTTATTTTATTATTTTTTGAGGCAGGTTCTCTACACTTCAGGCTGTCCCAGAACCCATTTCTGTATGTAGTCCAAGCTGGCCTTGAACTCTCAATAATCTTGTCTTTACCTCTGGAATGCTGAGATTACAGGTGTGCACCACCATGCTGGCTCTTACTGCAAATGAAACATATCAAGACACTTTACAAATCAATTTGTTTTTATCCTTAAATATTATAAACGCTTGTCTGTTATTACACCTCCTTTACATAAGGTAGGCTGCCTTGTCTTACTCCCAAGGAAGACAATACATGAGATCCTCAGTTTTAGAAATCAAGCAATCAGTGATGTAAATCAGAAAGCCATGGACTTCAGAAATGCAAATCTGAGGTCATTTAGCATCACTCATTCCCTGTGAAAGGGCAGAGGCAGCACCAAGCAGCAGCTAGTATTTTCTCTAAATAGTGTTCCACCCATGAAGATGCTAGTCAAAACCATACTCTTATGTGTATTATTGCCTGTAGCAGTTTCAGTTGCAATATTTTATCTTGTATAAGTAGATTTTTATTAAAAGGTTAAATAATTAACAGAAAGCTTTTGTGTCCCAGGAGTAGAAATTTAAGAGCAATTAGGAAAGTGTTCATAAACTTTCAAAACACTGACACATTGTGAAGTATTTCAATGTATTACTACACGCTCAATTAAAACACAGGCAAGGAAATTTAGTGTCATCACTTCTTTTCATTAAAATTCACATTAGACCTCTGTATCAGGATGATTAGCTAAAATATATGATCCCACAAAGAAAACCATGTAAAAACATTGCTTCTTTTTGATCTAGCAGATACAACTGTGGAAAATTTTATGTGGTCCTTAAAATGTTTAGTTGTACTAAATGATTTCTGGCTTGTGGCTACCAAGAAATTAACTTTCTTTACATGTCCCATTGTGAATGTGAAACATTTATTAGAATTTTAAATGCAAAGTAAATTTCCTTTGTGGCCACTATTTTTTATTTTGACTGGACTAAATGGTACCTATACTGAATAATTATTGGTGAGAACACTATTTCTAGATACTTTAAGAGTACATGTAGAGCAGAAGATCCTATTTAGTTCAACATTAACATGGAAGCTGTTGAAGACTTATTTTGTTTGAAAGAGTATTTAAATTTTTTTTTTAAAAAAAGTTTAAATGTAGACTTGCCTTTTTATTTTCAAGAGGGAAAAACCCAGTGATAATCATTTCATGTTAGGAAATTCTTAATATCATACCAGTAAATCTTTTAGTTACCAGCTCCTAAATTCTCACTCACTGTTGTATCTTTGAAGTTAAGCAAAGTTCTATGGGTGATATATCTATTTTTATATATCTTATAGTCTTGTGAGGAACAAAATTCAGAGCAATCAAGTAATTTTTCAAGGCTCCACACATCAGGGCCAGGAGATTGCAAGATACATTGTTTTTTTACTATGCTACTTGTAAGAAGTTCTGATTTTAGTAATAGTGTAGGTAATGTAAAAAGCATTTGCAAAAGATTTCAAAAGTATGCATATACTTATATTCAAGGTTAGGGGGCCTGGGATATAGCTCAGTGGCACAGCACCTGCCTGAGTCATGAGTTCTGTCCCTGTACACACATACACAGGGTTAATCAAAATCTCTGTGAAACCTAATTATGAAGGAGAAAGTAGAGGGTTATGCAGCCAATGACTAAATCTGGTACTCCTGTTTAATCAAATTTGCATTGAAAATAGCTTTTTTCAGATGCATAGCATTTAAGTAATACTGTCTTCTGTGAGACAGACTAAGTGAAGTATTTAGGTACTTGTGGCTTGATAGGACTAAAGCTAGATTCCAAGTAAATATATTCAGGGGATATCTAGAAGTTACTAAATCACATCATTACAGGACTCTAGGGTCAGACATGTTATCCTCCTAATGCAGAAAGTCATCTAGTATTTCTAATAAGTTTTTCTTGCCTTTTGTTGCACACTTTCTGTGATAGAAAAACCATTAACTTTTGGGGAGGCTTTACAAAACTGAAGTACTTCCTTACTGTACAGTGAAATCTACTTTTGTCATAATATCCAAGTGATGGTTCTTATTCTGCCCTTTGGTTTTCTATAGGATATGGAATACTTAGTATACAGGAGTGGTGGTGAACCTATGGCACATGTGCTAGCGTAGGCTATTGGTATTGTTGAAACTCTAAAAGGTTCACCATCACTGTATAAATCCTTACATTTGACTCCACTGTAGATGCAGAAAGATAGCAATTATCTTTCCCAGACCTTTTACTAATCTTCCAGTTTCTTCAGTATTATTTTCCCACAGGGTTTAGGAAATGAAGGTTCTGTTCTTCCTCAAAAGGGTTAAGAAAAACAAGTAATTCAGAAATGGAAAGAATATCCACTTTAACATTCTTTAAAACACTGAACCTTTTCCACATTACCTAATCTGCAAACACTTCTAGGACAATGAATGTTATTTTCCCCACCAACATCACATAAGTGTAGAAAGCCAGAGAAATGATTTTGCTTAATCTTTGAGAAAACCTGTGTCCCCAAATAGCGTTTTGCAGGTCATCTAA